ATGTGCACTGGCTTCTTAAGAAAAATTCTGAAATCACTAGATTTAGACATGTTAGAAAATAAACAGAAGACTCAAGAGATTAAATTCACAAACTGAGTGGTTCAGCAAAGACAGGGTTAGAGGTGCAGGCACACAGGCTCAGAACCCATCCTCGATCTGAGTCTCTTACTTCCTGTTCTGTATCACGGGCTGATACTGACAGTGGTCAGACAAGCCAGAGTGTGTGGCACATGACTGCCGTCTCAGGGGTTGATCGTGAAGGAGAAGATCTTTTAAGAAGTGGAGAAAACTATGCATTAAGTGAACTTGTACTGGAAATTAATGAAAGAGGTGTAAAACTTGACTCTTCTACAGAAATCAGGGATACGATATCCTCTTTTTTCTTTACTATAAAAAGTACCACACAGAATTCATAATTACTTCGTATGCTTAATTTTAACCAATTATATCAAATAATTTTTATTTCTTTAAGAATCATGCCTCTCAACACACACACTTAAGAATCTGATAAAAAGTTTTGGATTTCTATAGACATAGGCACATTCACATCACATATTTCAATTTCAGAGAAAACTCTGTTCCAAATTAAAATTTTCCTGGAACGTGGAGGTTACGGGCCATTATCTGAATGAAGGCAGAGGGGCAGACTAAGGCCCACTCGGTGCTGTAGTTAGGTACACCAGACCCCAAAGCCAGAGATCTCGATCCCTGCCATTTGATGCGCACATTTTCTGCCCTTGAGAATTCATATTGTAGAGAGGAAGACAGATAGGCAAACAGTTATGGCACCAGGAAGCAGTAGGTGTGTGTGCAGGAAGGAACGGTTCCTGTGGCAGGCCAGCAATGGAGCTGTGAGGATCACCGAGCTACTGCTTAGGCTGCGGCAGGGGTCCTAGGAGAATGGGAACTGGGGAGATTCTGTGGACCATTGCCATCACCATGTCCAAGCCATAGTGCCCAGGCAGAGGTGACTCAGAGGCTCTCCCGCACCCTTTCTCCCCGGGTCTACCCCTTTCCTCTGTGAGGGGCCGGGCGTAGAGGGGAGGCAGATGGAAACTTCCGGGAGACTGACCACCCTTTGCTTCACAAGTCTGATCTCATCTGTACGTTCTCCCAAGACTGTGATACTCTTGGTGCTCCCAAATCCCCTATTCCAACTATCCCGAGTAGACGCACCTGACTCCGCACACCTGTACCTTATTTTCAGAGGACTCTAAATGAGTCCAAGGTTCAAAGCCTTACCTGTTCGGCAGAAGGTTCTAACTCAGAAAAGCAGGAGAGGGAAGGTCAGAAGGAAGGGGCCTGCCTGTTCAGCGTTGCTTGAGTGGGTGTAGGAAGGGACCGTCTTGGAAGGACCCAGGTGTGGGAGAAGTTGGCTTGGCCAGAGAGTCTGACACGACTGATCCACCTCCGGCAGCAGTGCTTTTTATCTGTGTGTTCTCTCTCTCTCTCTCTCTCTCTCTCCCTCATCTTCCCACCTTCTGTTCTTCTGGACCACTCCCAGGTGAGCAAGGCGATGGCCTCCTATTTCCTCGTGGCTTTTGTTTCTGGCCGTGCTGGCCTCTCTTTGGCAGCAGGTGCCCAGGCTCTCCCTGAGCTGCCGGCGTCGCTGTGTTCCGTTCCCATGGCACTGTGCTCTTTCAGCGGTGAAGGACCAGAAACCCTTAGGAAGGAAGAGCACCCTCGGGCGGAAGCGACATGGTTTATTTGTCGCTTAATTATAGGGTATGGATGCTCAGGGTTTGTGTTTATTTATCGTTGGTTGCTGTTGTTGCTGAAATGAAATGAATTCATGTAACCACTTCTTCAGTCAGCATCGTCCGAGGCCGGGTGTTTTGCAGAATGTGAGGCTCACAGTCAGGAAAGAGACTTCCCGATGAATCAGACCTGGGCAGGGAGGGGAGGCTGAGGCAGAGGCAGACGCACGGGTCAGAGAGAGCCCTCCGTTGGACAGTCAGAGGCTACGGCCACGGGATCTAGAGAGCGACTGCTTCCACCTGCGGTGACTGGGGACAGCTTCCTAACTCTGTGCTCGAAGGACACACAGACTCTGGAGTAGGGTATGGGACAGCAGTAGGGAAAGGCTGAAATACACTCCAGCTCTTAATATCTGGAGAGTGCATGTGATCAAAGAGAGTTGATGAAAAAGGTTTATTCTTACAGTTCTCTCATTCACTGAGGAATAGTGAGTGAATCACATTAACACCTTGGATCTCACCTCTTCCCATTTTCCTCTCCTTCATGCTCCTCCAAAACACCTAACTTTTAATGCCTCGGGGCCTTTGCACTTGCCGTTTGCCTCTCATTTGAACTCCTTGACTGGTTCTATGCTACCTCTGACACCTCCGTTCAAATAACCCCTTTCCCAGAGTCTCTCTCAGACCTCTCTGTTGAGGTTGCCTCCTCACCACCCGTCTTACGTTCCACCCACACGAGCATCTCCTTTGTTGCTATGATGGAATCCTTGTTTATGTGTTCAGAGCACTTTCACACTGGCTTGTTTAATACCCTCTCTGAGACATAGAAGGCTCAGTGCATGTTTTCATTAACTAAATGAACTGATCAATCAGCTTGGTACACTGGTGCGCTAGCTCTGAAGTCATGTCCTGGCTTTCACTTTTGTGTATAATTGTGAGACCGCTGCAGACCTTCCTTAACCTCCCCTCTAAAGATACGATGATGGTGATGGTGATTACCCTGCAGGATTGAAGAGAGTTTAGGGAGACACAGCCTTCTGTTAAAAACGTGGGCGAATGTGAGTGCTCCCTTGTTCCTTGGGTCCTCTGCGGGCACAGCAGAGCTGACCCTCGGCTCCCTGAGCCACAGTCTCTCCAGGCCACGTGCCCAGCAGCAGCAGCAGGTGGCCTCTCCCTCTGGCCCGAGCCCGGCTCTCCACTCCTGTGCTCCCACAGACTCCTGCAGCAGCAGGTATTCATGTCATCTTCAGTTCCCAGAACTGAAATCTGAGAATGGCGGGGAAAACTCTGATAAGCAAAAAGAGAAAGTATAAATTCTCACAGATTGTACCACTCTGAGAAAACCCCTTCTAACGCTGGTTGTGTGGACATATGCACATTTTACAGGACATGCAGATACATACACATGCACACATCACTGCTCTTTATATGTCCAAATGTTCCCTTTATAGTGTAGCTAACACACGGCCTGGTATGTGCCGTAGATTAAACCATGAACTCTGTCAGCCCTTCCCCTGCCATTAGCTCTAGGTATTTCTTTTGCTGCATTGTAGCATCAGGAACAATCGGGAAGGGGCTGAGCTGTGGTCTTAGGGATGGAACTTGTGGTCCCACTGTCCTCCGACCGTCCCAACCTGGGGACAGCTCATTACACAGGAAAGTAAGAGCTGGAATTGCAATGCCTCTCTGGAGTCCGACATTTTGATGGAAAAAGGCCAAATATTTGCAGCTTTGTGTCCATTTGTTCAGATGTCTCTAAACCTTATGTCAGTTAAAGGGAAATTAAATAAGCAAACAGTGGGTCAGAAGGAAGATGGAATACACCCTGGTCTTTCTGGAGTGAGCGCCGCTGTTCACAGCAGGACTTCCCAGCTCTGCCCCATTGGCATCTCTGCCCTTGATGCCCAGGGTTGCTGGACCCTTTTCCTTTGAGGCAGTGTCTTCCCCACTGGGCTCTTGTGCCCCCTCTCTCAGAATTATTTGGGGTCCCCCAGCTTTCAAAATTCAGATTTCCAGTCCCGCTTCCTGTTTGCTAAACCTGAAATCTGGGATGGGTGCTGGAGAAACGCAGTGCAGTAATCACAGACGGAGAACCGCGTTGGAGTCCCGGCCCAGGAAGCTGCCCACGTCTGCCCCGCACCCAGCCCCGAGGTGACCAGGGGCCGAGAGCATGCACTGCGCCAGGCACTTCTCTGTCAAATGTACGTGACAGATAAGGAGACCGAGGCACACAGTGCCCAGGGAGTGGGGGCGAGGCCAGGTGTGAAAGCCCACAGCCTTGCTCTCTGGGTCACCTGGCGTAGCATTTTCCTGTGTTCCGTTGTGAGGAGACTGTGCGGGATGCTTAGAGAGCCATGTTGGACCGGGTGAATGAGGCCCAGATTCCCAACCTCAGCTGGTGTCCTTAAGGCTCCTGCAGAAGACACATGCGAGCCCAGCCAGTAGTCGGCAGGTGGCTTACTTGGGGGGCAGACGCCCCAAGAGGCTGGCCTGGGGCTGCTGTGGCCACAGCTCCCTGCCGCCCTCCAGCCTCTGAAGAAGGGGTGCAGATCAGAGGGACAAAGACATGGCCTTTAACCCTGCCTCCCGGCCTCACCTGTGGTTTGGGGACAGCACCGCCGCCACACACGCGGAGACTGGCAATAGCTGGCACGGTGGCCGCGCTGCCTGTGCTATCCCATCCCCGTGGCCCTGGCTCCCTTTAGAACACAGCGCAGAGCTGAGTCCTCAGTCTACCTTGCACCCTAGGCGTCTGCTGGCACCGCACAGGCCGGCATCCCAGCCTTCCTCCATGTGGACTCCTGTGCCCCTACAAACAACATCTCCACCCAGGCCCCGACCCCAGCTGTCCTGGGACCCTGTGCCTCTGCTTCCAGGTGGAGCAGTCCATTCTTTCTGGCCTCTGCTCAAATGTGACCTCCTTGGAGAGGCCTCTCCTGACTCCTGTATCTAAATACAGCCTGCATTATCCTCTACCCCTTGCCTTCTTCAGTTTGCTTCACAGCATTTGCATCACATGCATTGTTTAGCTGTTCACTCTCCTCCCATAGAGCACACGCCCGAGACGTATCCTGCCCTTCCTGCTGCATCCCAGCACCCTAGTGCAGTGCCTGGTACATAATAATTGCTCAGTAAATATTTGCTCAATGAATGGATTTTTAAAATGTTTTCTTCTCCCTGTAAGGAATATGTTTATCTTCTATTAAGGGGAAATGACACAGATCTATTCAGAGGAGAGACATGTGGTCTACTTTTATTTTCACAAGAATATTTGTTTTATTCAGAAAAATAAACCTATGGGGAGCAAAAAATTTAAAAACCAGGGGATGTAGGCTGACCTAGTTACTAAAGAGCTTCTTCAGGCGCAACCCGGTTGTTTCTAAGACCACGTCTTCTCTTTGGTGCCCGGTGACAGCCGCTCTCGGTGGCCTTCTCAGGGTCCTCTCTTCGATGTAGAGCCACGAGGATCTTCTTCTTTAGCCAGCGGAAGGCCCGCCCCATGTTCACACAGGTGGTAGCCTGCGAGTCAGGACACGTGTCCCCGTCCTCTGCCTGCACTGAGGAGGCCCTGGAGGTCCCTGGAACACCTGACTTTTGGCTTCCAGTCATCTCATTTGCTGTCTCGGCACAGCACTGGTCCCTGAGCACCGGGCGGGTCTCTGGGACTGGGGCGTCTTCCTCCTCTGGTGACGAGCATGTGAGCAAGTCTGGATATGCGTCATCTTCCTGACACCTGACCTGAGCCAGGGAGCAGCTGCAGAGTCTGAAGTCTTCCACTGGAGTAATCTCAAAGAAATCTAAGGCGGGGTCTTGGTGATTTGCCTGATTTCCTTTGTGATTGCTTTGATTTTCATTGTCAGTTGAATCTTCAAAGTCATCATCGTTGGCCCAGGTCATGGCGATGCCTTGACGGCTGCACCACCGTGAGTCGTCTCGATTGTGGTCACACTGAGGGACCCGAGTCCTCATCCCGTCAGTCCCCAGCATGTGCTGGGGAGGAGGGACTTGGCTGTCTGAAGGACACATCTTGGGAGGCGGGTCTTCGAGGGAGATTATATCCTCACAGGAAAAGTTATCTTCACAGGGAAAACAGCCCTCAAAAGGACTTGAGGTGGATTTGGCCTTGGAATCGCAGTGCTCTGTGTCAGAGGCATCCCTGCTAGGGGAGGAGGACGCCATGGAACTGGACACACGAGGTCTCCGTCAACTTCCAAAGGGGAAAAATGAATGATCAGGGGGAAAAGATTTGCTGCCAACTCCTAAGCAGAGTCAGGAGATGCGAGAGACTCTTTCAGCTCCAGTCTCGTGGCACAGGGCCTGAGTAGGTCATAATCTGTGTTCTGTGATGGTTGGTAACCATGGCAATATCAGAACCAGCATAGCCCCAAAGTAGGACTACAGAAAAAATCCAAAATAAGGTGTACACACACCATGCAGGCTGAGGTGAGTCCCTCTTGAGGCCAGAAGAAGCCATCTGAGGGGCTACTTCCCCGTGAGGTGGTGCCTGAGAGTTCACGTCCTCGTGGGATGGAGGCCGTCTATGGGGAGACCCACTTGAACAGCCTGGCGTACAGCAGGCTGGTGTGGGCAGTAGAAGAGTGTAAAACTCGAGTCCTGAGAGGACAAAGAAGTCACCTCAGTGCTGTGAGGCCAGACTCTGTGTCAACAGCAACAACTGAGGGAAGGGTGTGGAGAGAAGGCACCTTGCTGCCTGTTGCCTGTCATGTGAGGAGATCGGCACAATGCCAGTGTCGGGCGTGGAGGCCTCTGCCGCCGCTGGGAGCCTAGGTTCATACTCTAAGCTGGCAGGGACCTGGCATTCGTTTAGCATCTGAGAATCTCGCAGGGAGCTCAAATACACATCCTCCAATGGACCCGCTGCATGGACATCCCCGCGTGGGTCTGCAGGTTTGGAGGGGAGGAGCCAGGCCACAGTGAGGAGGACGTGGGGAAGTCAGCAGGCAGTGGTGTCGGAATGAGTGGGTAGGGAAAGCAGGGAGAGGAAGCGGAGGCCAGGATGGTCCGCTTTTAAAGTGCATTGGTGCAGGGAAAATAGACCCCATCTAAAGGATAGGTGATCAGAAGCCCATGGGTGCCGGGTGGACATCACCAGGGAGAGGGTGAGAGGCTGTCCAGCAGTGGGAGACCCTGCCCAGCAGGGAGCGAGAACGCCCGCACCCAGCCCCGGGCGCGAAGGCGGGTGCTGAGTGACACGCGTGGCCTGCTCCACTTGCAGTCTTCTGCAGGTGTCGGGGTGCGGCTCGGCCTGTGCTTACCTTAGCTATGTGCTCAGCACTGGGAGAAAGGGGTGTCTACGTGGATTTACAGTCCAATCTTCAGCGGGTTCACAGTGTGACCCTCAAAGGTAACCACGGCTCCAGGGTAGTAGAAATCAAAATGTGAAAAAGAAAAGGTCCAAAAGCGACAGTCTCTGAGACGTCTCAGAGAAGTGGGGACAGGACTTTGAAGTAGGGGTACAGTTCCCGTAGGAGAAGTGGGGTCAAGACCTGCAGACTGGGAGCAGCTGGGGAGCAGTGGTGGAGAAGAGAGATCACGGCGCATTGTGAAGAGCAGTCTGGCGGGGAACTCGCAGGCAGCTCTTCCTTGCTTTTATTCCCAAACTTTCGTCCCCAGGCACTGTGGCAGCACTGTCTGTGTCCTCGCGGAGGGGAGCTTCAGGGAGGCAGCTGTGCTTCCAAAGTACCAACTTCTTTCTCTCTGTAAATAAAATACCCAGACAACCCTGTCCTATTGCTCTCACTGGAGACACAGGCAGCCACCAGTAGCTGCCCTAGATTTGCATTAAAGGGACACCTGTCCTTAGGGAAAGCCCGAGTTGGTGGCACTCTTTGCAGACAAAGAGCTGCTGAATAAATCTGCCTGCAGAACTATTGAGAACCCAGCCTGAGCACAAAGGCTCGTGTCCCGGTTGTCTCGAGGTAGAAGAAACCCCAGGAGGGTGACTCCCTCCAGCCCACGTGTGCACCTCCCTCCTGTGTTCTCGCCTGGAGCCCGGGGACCCTAATGGGTGACCACACCCTTTGTGTGGTTTCATCCTGCCACATGGCAGCAATGCGTCCCCATTGTCAAGCACGTGACCTCGGCATCCAGCTTGTAAAAGTTGGCAGGGTTCAAGGCGGCACTTATCTTCCAGAGCACATCAGAGTTAATGTGTTGCTTTATTTTATTAAAGGCCTCTATCTTGAGTTATAGCACAAAACAGAAGTAGGGAGGACTCTGATATCAGTAAAACAGAGGGATGACCCTCTCTTCTCAGTGGGTCAGAATGCTGCCCACTGGGTCCTTGCCCATCTGACTTCAAGCAAACTTACTTGGGAAACAACTGCAGGAAAGAAATGATGTCTCCTACCTCTTCCTCTCCCTCTCCAGTTCTCTGTCTCCCTCCCTCTCCCTATCAAAAAGAAATCCACAAACTGTATCTCCTTCTTGATCTCCCTTCACCACTGACATCTTATTTTAGACCAAGACGTGTTTCACAGAATGTTAATGGCTGTTATGTAACTTCAATTTGACTTCAGCAAATGTTAAGCAGGTATATTTATCAAGGTTATGTCCAAGTGCCTTGCACTGCTAACGTTCGAGGGCAGCGTGGACTATGCCATCGTCCCGCACTCAGTTTCCCTGTGCAGCCCTCTGTTTGATGCCGTGATTTGTAGCCATGAGTGCATCCCCAGTGTTAGTCAGAAGTCTCGGTTTCCCTGAAGCTGCAGCTCCGGGGCCAGTGACTGTGAAAAGCCACCAGGAGGCAGCACTTGGGTAACCTCTTTCCGGGAGTTATGGGAAAGGAAGCAGTTTTTACTAATACATATGGGAAAGTAGGGCCCCCGACTTCACTTTACTAATTTCGCCCCAAAACCACCTTTGTCCGCCAGCATGGAAGGCGCTCTTGGCCCCAGCCAGGGTTACACCCCGTCTTCCTCTCCGACACGAGCAGAGACGGAGCTGGCATCGCAGTGACTCTTCCCCCAGGCCGAAGCATCGACCTTTGCTTCACTTGTGCTTCAGAGGTCTGGAGGTAGCAGTCGCTTCTCCCTTTCGTAACTGGAGAAGCAGCGGATCAACAGAACCAGGACCCACGCAGAAACCGACTACCCACTTGACTCACGGTAAAGCCGCTGCAAAACCTGGGGCCTCCTGTCCACAGCAGCCGCTCGGGGCTCTGCCCACCACAGTCAGGCTGCGCCTGGCTCCTGGCCTGTGAGCTTGGTCACCACATCATTCTGCTCCTCCCTACACGCATGTGGACACACACAGAAGGGACGCGGAGGGGAGAGGGGGGCTGAGCGATACTCAGAGTGTCGGTTTCTCCAAGCACAGTGCTCTCCCAGCCACGTGATCCTGACGTAAACAGGCAAACCTGAAAAATCAGGAGAGACAAGGAATTCTACCTGAGGCCTTGCCAGAAAGGAAGAATACACAAGAAAATTCAAAATACAACTGATCAGTAAATGGCTTTGCTGAAATAGTCATTTAAAAAGTTAAGTAATAACCAGATGGGGATTAGGTTTTTAATCATCATTGAGCTTATTGGTGCTTTTTAGGTATACAGTGCAGTTACATTCATCACTGGGATCTAATAAATAGGACACACATATGTAAATACCGAATAGTTTCTCTGGTGTGAAAAACAACGTGTAAATAAGATCCAAATGTTAAAATTGACAATGTGAAATAGGGGGATTAGGTTTTTGAAGCTACCTTTTCTTCCAGGACATAAACTAAGAGACTTGTTTTAAACAATGCCCAACCCCCGGGCCTAACATAAGTGAGCCCTGTGCGTTTTGGCTCCTGACCCGGCTTTCTAGCACATGTGGGCAAGAAAGAAAGAGCACTTGCGGGGTGACCCGAAAGTGCCCAGCCTCACTCCCCCACTGGAGCGCCGCACATTGCTGTGGGCCGAGGAGCTGAGGGAGGAAGACACATCAGCAGGACCTTGGGGGCTACCCCTGCCCTCGCACCCCTGTGCAGGCCAGTTAGTGTCCCCAAGCCCAAGGGAGACTGATATTAAACAGCATGTCCAAACCATGACCAACATGGAGATGGAGGGAGAAAGACAGGAAGAACCTGGACATTTTCATTTTTCTTGTCACCTGTGTTCCTTTTTGCGCCTCCAGTAGAGTGAGGGAGTCACTCTACTAGCCTGGCAGTCACAGGGCAGAAACTGCTAGAGGGGGGGGGTCACTGTCCTTCAGCAACGGCGTCTCAGCTTTACCTGGGGGCTACATTCATCTAGAAAAGCTAGGACACTGCCCGGAGTCTCCAACGTTTGCTTGTGCGTGCCTGGGAATAACAGTATCTACCTCGCAAGATTGTTAACAGAATTGCTAAGATGACTGATTTGGAACAGTGGAAACAAAACCCCTTAGCAAACGTGCACATGCAAAACACACACTCATCGATCGACAGCTGCTACTGCAAAGCTGTCTGGGGAGCTTCTCAAATGTTACGTTTGAGACGGGTGTCCCGGGAATGTGTTTCAGTATAGACGCTGATTCAGAAGGTCTGGGCTGGGAATAAGTTTGGGACCTGACCCATCTGGTGTGAGGCCCACATTCTGAGAAGCAAGCCTCTCTGACACAAAGGGTGAACAAAACAGTCTCCACTTTTGCAGAATGTAGGAAGACAGACGAGACACAGCTTGTCCAATGGCAGAGCTGACTGGAGGTTTGCACAAACTGCTTCAGGAGAAAGTGATTCTCACCAGGCTTTCTGGAGATTTTCTGCGACTTCAGGCTGTCTCTGAATGAGTAGATTTTGAGCAGGTGCAGAATAACAGTTCAGGTTCTGGCTGTGCTAGGAAGGAAGCAGAGATGGGAGTGGAAAAGCCTGAAGTTGATTTTGGAGAAGCCACGCGTCCTGGGGACCTGAAGCATGAAGTGTGGTGCAGAGGAGGAAGCGGGTAGAGACTAGATCGTGAGGCTGGAGTCTTGGGTCCCAGGCATCACCACCCAGTGGAGGATGGTTTTCAGGGCATGTATGGATTTCCTAGGGCCACAGTACCCAAGAGCCACAGACCAGGAGTCTTAGACGGCTGCAAGTTGTCCTACGGTTCTGAAAGCTAGAAGCTGAAGGCAGACTAACTGTAGAAATCTTCAGAGCATTGGGCCACTGAATGGTACTGCGAACCTGAGAAACTGGTGTGCAGATGAGAGTGGCCTCCAGTTCCCATGGACGCTCCTTCTCCTCCTGCCCACTTCCTTGGGAATGTTACATGATTCCCAGCGAGCTTCTGGGAGTGTGAGTTCCCAGGTTCCTGGCTCAGTGGAAGCAGCAGCCTTCCGCTCTTTCCCTCTGAGAAAGCCCACTGCAAACACTGCCCATCACGTGGGTTTCATGGGCAGAGGGAAAAGAGGCATTTAATTTTTATCAAATTAAACCATCCTCTTTGAGAAACTGAAACTTTTTTTTAAAGTGGTT